CTTCATGTCCCTGATCTGCTTCACCCTGAGACCTGGCCCAGTCATCCTGTCCAAGACGAAACTGGTCGGGAACGCCACCGTCTCGGACCTGGACAAGAACCTGTCGCTGATCGACACGAGCTATCTGGACAGGAATCTGAGCGAGAACGTGATCGCTGGGGTGACGATCGCGACCACGAGAAAACTGGAGTCGGCCCACGCTGCCCACGCGGCTTACGTGGCCCTGCACACCTGCCCCCTCCTGGAGCATCGGACGGGGAGGCAGGTCACTCGCTGGGTCCTCGAGATCGCTCTCGTCTCGGCGGCTGTGGTCTATCTGCTGGGGGCTGGGCGGGAGGCGAGGTTCCTCGGGATGGCCATGTTCATCGAGAATCTCGTCGGTGGTCTTGCCCTTTTTGGGAGGTTGTTGTCTGGTTGAAGGCGGTGACTGATGCAGCGGAACGATGAGTGTTTGGAATGTCGGGTTACCGTTACGATTATTTCGGGAATTTTCCTGATCGGTTGATAAGATTCTACGTTTAGCACAGTGCACCATGCTGAAGCAAGAATAATCCTATCAACGAAACGAAGACGTTTAGCATGATGCTATGCACCATGTTAAAAGTCCTCCAGAGATGACCGACACTCAGAGATGGTTCGTCAATTCCTTTGCAAACGTAAAACTTTAATTTTTTCTCAGTCGGGAGTTTATAGGGCTTACATGTTCTCGAAACCTATGAACGCCTTTAACCAGATGACAGTCGATTTTTTGCCACCGCCTCGAGAATGCATGATTATCGAGTTCCCGCAATTCTCGCGGAGCAGATTACGGAGCCGACTCGAGTGCTCTTCCTCTTCAGCAACATCTTCATCATGATCATGGTGCCTCTGAGATTCGCCTGCACCACGCAAGCGGAGGACATCTTCGCCGTCATGTCCATGGTCACCATCGCCCCTTACTTTCTCTTCTTCTGCCGGTTCGTGGATTCCGTCGCTTCTGTCGCTTCGGTCGGTTCGGTCGAGCCCTGCGAAAGAGGTGTCTCTCCGTTTCGGTCGTAGGGGGTTCAAAACCGTCGGTCCCTTCGTCGTCATGATATACAAGATGATCAAGGGGGACCTGCTGAGGTTCGTCACTATATATTCCGTCTTCATCATGGGATTCGCACAGTGTGAGTTGGGGATTTTCCTTCGTTCGATCGCGGCAGAGGTTCTTGCTGTTCTGGATTTTGCTCTCGCGTCTTTCCTACAGCCTATTACATCATCTTTCTATCGTACAAGAAAATGGAGCAGCCACCCGAAGAAGACGACAAATTTTGCACGGACACGAATCCGATTCCCACGATGACGGAAGCAATTCTCGCCATGTTCATCATGTCTCTCAACAAATACGACGCCATGTATTCCTCTTTCCGATGCACGAATCACGAAACGTTGGCGAAGGTGAACCATATTTTCATTTCGGTTCGGTTGTCGGCTGGCTCGATATCGTTTTCCAACATCGGGTGTAGGTCATGTTCGTGACGTACATGGCCATCGTGACGATCCTCCTCATCAACATGCTCATTGCCATGATGGGGAACACGTACACGAAAATCGCGGAAACGAGGAATGAATGGCAGAGACAGGTAGGGCATTCATATCATGAATATCAGGAATATCATGAATACGAAGCAAATAGAACGTACGTGAATTCGGGGAGCTTTATTTCTCCTCTTTAGTGGGCTCGAATCGTGCTGGTAGTTGAAAGAGGGGTGTCGCCGAAAGAGAGACTCATCAGGCAAAGGCTCTATTCCCAGCCCATGGCCGACGGGAAACTTGCTTTCATCATTCGGCATCAGCACACGGTGAGGAATCCCGGTGTCTCGAGAAAAAAAAAATTAGACAGAGGAATCTCCTTTTACAAAAGTGATCAAGATTTCCTTCCAGAGACGACTAACTGGGGGGGGGGGGAATGGTGTGGTGGCTCTTTGGAAAAAAAAAGGGAGGAGGAGGGAATTCTAGCATAATCTTGGGCTTCACCCGAAAAAAAAATACATGGCACTCCTGTGTCTGCAGGACGAGGACAAAGAGGAGCTGAAGGAGCTGCAAGAACTGCGTGCGAACCATGCGAGGAACGTGAGCCGACGGCTCAAGGGAAGCAACTTCATGTCTTCGGTCAGCCTCAGCCCCAAGCCTCTTGAACATGGATCGAGTAGCAGTCTCAACTGAGTCTCAACTGAGTCTCGACTGAGTCTCGACTGAGTCTCGACTGAGTCTCAAATGCTTCTGCAAGCGTCTTCAAAGCTTTATCTGCTAAATGAGATAGACTTATTTCTTCTCTTTAGAGCTATGAGAAAAATAAATTATCTTATGCCGAGAAGCATCGCATTTGCATTCAAGTTTTTGCTAGCATTTTAATTTCATCTCCCATCACAGACGTGTGCAGCATGAGAATCAGATGAATTGTCTACACTGTATGGCTAGTTAGCTAGCTTGTCGCGTCGAAAATGACAGCGATGAAGGGAAAACTATTCTAACACTACGGTACAGAAACTTCATCGGACTTGCATCAAGGCCCATCCGAAATAAAATTTTCATCCTTCAAGGCCTCCGACCTTTCAACGTTTTTCCTCTCCGTATGTCACCTCGATAGAGAAACGCCTGTGAAGAAAAATTCAATGGCTCTTAACTTTCAGCCAGTTTCCCTTTCAGGCAAGTATCCGGAACGAACTCCGGTTTGACACTTCAACCCCCTTAGAGACGTTTCCCGGGTTAAAGATGAGTCTTCCAATGAAATTTGATGGCTCCGGTTCTGTCGTCCTTCTTCCAAAATCAATCGAGAATTCACAGTTCGAAGGAGATGTGTGACCTTCCATCTTCGGAACTCTGAACGCAATTGCCTATTTTCGGGAAAAAAAAGTATAAGCAGCCCTTTCGCCGAGGATTTATATATTTATTTCTTGTTTTCCTAAATAATATTAATTATGCACACAAAATTGAACATTTATATATTTTAAGAATTATTATATATTTTAAACGAAATATTGGTTCTGTCGACAAGTTTATATTGTTTAATGGGAACAAGACCCATTGGGAGGAAACCAAGAGAAATTGGCAGAGGAAGGGAGTGGACCGATTTCGCAGTTTCTCCAAGGGCGTCCGCGTGAGTCACGTGAGTCACGTGAGTCACGGGAGTGCGAATTGGTGAGGGGAAAGGGCCATTTGTAGGATGATGTGTACCGTAAGGAAATACTGACATCTCACTGAAACTTTTCAACGTTTGAAGAAAAAACATTAAGAAGCTTCTACACTTACTTCGTCTTTGATGGGGCTAATAGGGTTCACGGAAAGGGGAAACGGAATTTGACTTCCCTTTTTACTTCGCATGGGGAAACTAATCTTGCATTCAAGGAACAATTGTGCGTCGTGGCAACGCCAAAAGTTGTGATTTTCCCTCAAATCTGATGATTACTCCGGAGACGAGCGACGAAAGAGCGATTCCAACCAGCGAAAGACCCAAAAGAGGCGGGAAAAAATCGCGACAGCGGACGGACCCAAGGACGAAAAGAGCGTCGACGAAGACGCCATCGAATTGGCACGGGTCGCGCGAATCCCGAGCCCGGTGCCACGAGCACCTCCGAGGACCGATCACGCAGCACTGGTGCGCGACTCGGTTGAAAAAGTCCGCGGTGCGATACTGATGAGTGATCGATGAACCGAACGACCCCCGGAAACGGATCTTCCTCGGTTCGACGTTCGGCACGAAAACCGGAAGCCGAGTCGTGTGGAGATTGCGACTGGAGGCCCGAGTGGATGAAAGAGGACGGAGGAGCCTCGCCTTGCATCTCGTCTTGCTCTGGAGCGAGGAGCAGAGGCTTGCTCGCGGAGTTTCGTTTCTCCGTCCGCGATGGAGGCGGGGCGGAGATCGCGAGGATGGGGAGCTCCGTTCCTCGGTGCTTCTTCCGTCGTCAGAGGTGGGGGTTACGGGATCTCCTTCGCGATCGGGGGATTCCCGATCGGCTCGTCGTCTCCTGTCTCGTGAAGGAAGCGACCGGGGATCTCAACGCCTCGGCATTCTTCGTCGACGATCCTTTCCCGGTTCGTTTCGCTCTCGTGCCTGTCGATAGCAAATCGGCTTCGTGTGCCGACCTTTTTCTTCTCTGCAAATACTCCATGTCGGCGATCTGGAACTCTGCCCTCGCTCAGACGTGTCTTCCCTGCAGGTACCGATCGACAACCTCTGCCGCGACCTAGCCGCCCTCTCGGAGACTCGAAATTTCTCCGACGTCGTTCTGGAAGCGAACGACGGATCGGAGCAGAGAGCCCACCGAGTCATCCTGTCGGCCAGAAGCCCCACCCTGGCTCGGATGCTCCGCGACGACCCCCACCCCCTCCGGACCGACGAGGATCCCCGAGTCCTCCACAAACTCCTCCGGTTCGTCTACACCGAGACGTCCCCTCGCCTGCCCTCATCGTGTCGCCGGCTCCTCGCAGCGGCGGATCGCTACGGTCTCGCGTCCCTCAAAGCCGCGTGCGAGGACCGACTGCGCGGGACCCTCGACGCCCGCAACGCAGACGAATTTCTCGTCCGTCTTCGGCTTCGGGGCGACCGACCGCGAAGTTTGACCGCGGTGCACGCCGCATATTTTCTTCTACGTCTATGGAGTCTGATCTCGTCGCAATGAATGTCTCGGCTTCCTCCAGTGAGTCATCGTCGATCACTGAAGCAGAAAAATCGATCGTAAGGTGGAGAGGACCGATCGGATGAATATCGTTCCTCCATCGATCTTATAATTTGCTTCGCATAAACTTTCTTCGGTCGGAAAGCGTTGATTTCCGCCTGCCTTGGGTGGGGCAATTTGGCGGTCTTCGGCGTTATCAAACATTAACCGGTTTGAAAACGACTTGGGACGATTGCTTCCACTTTCGTCCATGTTGAATCTTGCCTCGACGTCGAACGACGACAATCTCAAATTGCAAATGTAAAACGTTACCTTTTCCTCAGTCGGGAGTTTATTCATGTTCTCGAAACCTACGAACACCTTTTTCCAGGTGACAGTCGATTTTTTGTCACCACCTCAAGAATGCATGAATTTATCAATAAAAATGTGAAAACCAATTTTCAATGGTTCAAAATTTTCAAACCTTTCTTCAACCGCCCCCCCATCTCCCGACTTTCTACGGGGCTCAATAATGTTAGGCCTAGGCCTAACCAACAGACTGCCTTCAAGTCATACCAAGGCCTATCTTTTTCTTTTCAAAAT